TGGCTCAGAAGAAATCAAGCTACGCTTGTGTTCACGTCACGGGCTTGCTCGTGTTCTACAAGAAGACAAAAAGCTTGTCAAAAGAAGCAAATTGTGAAGTTCGAACCACCGGAATCGATGAAAACTCAGCTTATCATGTCAAGTTGAGAAAAGAAAAAGAAAGATTTGATGAGTTGCCAAATTTCTTCAGAAAATTAAAAAAAAAGGGAGATTCGATGTCGGTCATGTGAGGAAGAAGAGGATAAGGTTATCGACAAAGCAAAAAGAGTAAAGTGACAACAAAATGTTTGGCATAAAAAACTAATGGGCCACTAAAAAGGTAAAGCCCACGTTAGAATCATGACTATGGGTCCAAAAATTAATATTATTGTGATGGTGTTATGCACACCAAGTCATGGATAATTAAATATTGCTCATAGTAACGTGAGGAGATTCAAGGTTTAATTCACAATCGTTTAAACAGTAAGTCTTACTACTCTTAAAATTTTTAGAATAAAAACTGAAGAGTGGGGGGCAAGTTGTTGGGAATAATTTATTCATTTGGGTCAAACCCATTATGAATGCGAAGCCCATACTGCAAAAGTTAACGGTTCATGCAGATATAAACAGAGTCCGCATAAAGCGTATACTGCAGATATAGGTTACTGCGATTATTGCGGGATAGGGGAAACCTATCTACAAAGAGATTACAATGAAAGACTCCGGATTCTAAGAGAATCACGAAGTCGGTTCCTACATCCACGCGAAGAAGGATATCAAAACGGGATCCTTATAAATAGAGGAGGGGGAAGAACCTYGAGGATCATCAAAAAATACACAGAGAAAACTTAAGAGCTACATCTTCATAGCATCCCAGCGATAGCAACCAGAGATCTAGCCTTGTTTTCCACATCCAACAAATATCCTTATAACGCTTTAAAACATCTAAACGTTGTAATAAGCCTACTTCGTTGATTAATAAAGCTATACTTTTCCCTATCATTCTGTAGATCTGTGTACCTGCGAACCTGATTAAATTTCCCCGAAACAAGAACAAAATCGTAACTTTAGTTAAAGTAATAATGATACAATTAAGCGATATTAAAATATAAGTGTATGATCAATCAAATATAGTATCCAGATGGACCCTAATACAATTTTATAAAAGTAATTGATATCACTAAATAATTCATTGCTTAAACGTTATTTAAATATGTTGAGATTTTGTAATATTTTAGTTGAATTTAAATTTGTAACATATGTATTTGTGAGGTCATGTTAAAATATAATGTAAATATATGTTGAGATTTCTAATATAGCAAATAAACTTAATTGCAATGTTTTGATTGGTTGATTTAATTGTTGTATTCCTTAAATTCTTCTTTGCTTGACATATAGAATTTTCTTGTGAGTGTCTCCTCAATTA